TGCCTTGGGCTCCCTGATGAACTGCGACCTGGGAGATGTAAGACAAATAAACCCTTTCCTCCCCAAGTTGGTACTGGTCAGAGTATTTTGTCACAGCAATGAAGAAACAGACTAAGACAAAAACCAAGACTGCACATTTTGTGGAGAATTCAGGTCTGTTTTAGGATAGCATAGTGTCATAAACATTACTTGGACAGCTTGCCTTTCAGCCCCTGGGTGTCTTGAAATCTTCAGAAAAACCTGTTTTTTGAGCATGAGCAGGACTTCTTAAATTAGATCCTGATTATTTTAAAGAACTTCATCTGCATTATATTTTCTATAAGCAATGAGTTATATCTGCCATAAGCAAATGCAACTGACACCCTTTGGACATATCTAGACAGTATGATGTCTGTTAGATGAGGATTGGAATAGCAAGTTTCTTCACTGCTGTGTCTAGACAGGTGTCACACAAAGCTCCATTTGTGGAGGTCTTGTCCTCAGGGTTGTAGTACTGGGAGATGTGGTGGACTTTTACAAAGCAGAGCATAGTAAAAGATTCTTAGGTCATTAAGAGTATGAGGATTATGGACCCTGGTAATTGCTTCCTGGCTCACAATGTGACTGGTTTGTTCTGACATACTCCTTGCCACTGTCATTCAGCCCCTCACTAGAGGCCCAGAGTTACAGGGTTACCCAATCTTAGACTAGGACCTCCAGAACCATGTACTAAACAAAACTTTTCTCTTTGTAAGTTAATCACTTCAGATATTTAATTGTAGTAACATGAAGCTAACTAACAGGCCTACTGAATCATACCTAACTTCAAGCTGTTGGCACAGTGTGTTCTGAGAAAACCATTACTAACGTAGTGACAGAAGGTGTGGGTACTGCAGGGATCACAGAGCACCTATTGAAAAAAACAAACATGTAATTTACTTTGAACTTTTTAATAGAAAATCAGTTGCTTTTGGAATCATTAAATTTGAGAATCAGGAGGAAGAACTGGATGACATTTTCTTCATCAAAACATAATAGGGGTAATAGGGGGAAATGTTTGCAGTAAGTTTCTTTGTGTAGTTTTTATTCATTTGATTTAAAATTGAAAGCTCATTTTCTCCTGTTTTACTGTTAAAGGAAATAAATAAGAAAAATACTTAACAATTACAATGAAATATATATATACTCTTAGATATTAAAATATAATGTAGTATATATACACATATATATGACTCGGATATTAAAAGTTGTTATAAATTAAAGAATAGTGATATTCAATATTATGGAGATAGTATAACCTACTAAGTTCAAAGGACAGGCAAATTCTTTTGTTTTGTTTCATGGTATCCCACATAGACTGGAAGTTAATCCAGGACTTTACGTATGATAATCAAATACCACTGAGCAATCTGCAGCTCCTTAAGACACATTCTCTACCTAGCCTTGATGAATCCAGCATTCCAACCCTGTATCCTTTACTCTGAGAACTATTCCCTGACCTGATTCGATCCGTGACAGTAGCTCTTCAGAGGAACTAAACTGTCATATATGGAGAAAGCTGAAAAAGGCATGAAATCTGAGGAGTCATAATCTGCATATCTATAACTTTAACAGAGTACAGTGAGCTTCAGGCATGCGATCTCACTGAAAGAGCAGGACATTCAGCCCTCTGAACAATTTCTGATATGAAGAAATACAAAACAGAGGGTACCTTGCTCCTAAATAAGGTTCTTCTCTATTAGTAGTAGTCAGTTAAAGTATGTCAGAGTTTGTTAGGTGGGGATCCCAAGGGCAGATCCTAAGATAAGGGCTGCTCCTCAAGCAGAGAAGTGAAGAAACAATCAAGGAAAGGGAGGACATAGGTAAACTCCCAGCCTCAGAGCTCCAGAGATCTCTGCAATTTAAAATACACTGAGGGTTTGTCCTCACCAGAGGCACACACGAGGCTTCCATATTTCTACACCTCCAACCCAAGACCTAAAGGCTTGAGGAAATGAAAAAGACAGGGAGCAGAAGATCTACATACTTCTGGCTATCTGCACATACAGGACTCTAGAAGATTCTCAAGCAAGGACTGTTAGAAAAAAAATTAGAAAAGGAGAAGCTCACAGACATAAACAGTAAAATAAATTCAAGGGGGGTCTGGGCAAGAGAGGGGAAATGCCCACTGTAGTTTAATTCCACAGCACCGGAAAAGCCTCATGCTAAGACTCAGACCTCAAAGCTCAGTACAAAAACTATCAAAATGCATGCAAAATGTATGCCATGACACATGCTATGATAACATGTAAAGTAACTGAAGAAGTCGAAATGGACCTCATCCCACAGGTATTAAAATATGTTTTAAAAATAAAATTCTGGCCTGGAGAGATGGCTCAGCTGTTAAGAACACTGACTGTTCTTGCAGAACACCCGGGTTCGAATCCCAGCTAAGAACTGTCCATAACTCCAGTTCCAGGGGATCCAACAGTCTCTTCTGTCCTCCACAGGCATTGCACAACACAGGTGCACTTACCTACATGCAGGCAATACATGCATACACATTGTCTTAGTTTGTTCTTCATTGCTGTGACAAAACACTCTGACCAGTACCAACTTGGGAAGGAAAGGGTTAATTTGTCTTACATCTCCCAGGTCGCATGCAGCATTGCTGTGACAAAACACTCTGACCAGTACCAACTTGTGGAGGAAAGGGTTAATTTGTCTTCCATCTCCCAGGTCGCATGCAGCAGCTTATCAGGAAGCCCAAGGTAGGAACTCAGGGCAGGAACCTGGAGGCAGGAGCTGGAACACAGGCCATGGAGGAATGCTGCTCCAGGGGTGGCACCACCCACAGTGGGCTGGGCCCTCCCACATCACTCATCAAGAAGATGCCCCTCAGACATGGCCACAGGCCACTCCAATAGAGGCAATTCCCCGATTGAGGCTCCCTCAACCCAGGTGTGTCAAGTTGACACTAAAGCTATCCAGCACACACATAAAATAAAAATAATATATTAAAAAAATAAAATTCTATTGTGCAAACTCTGGGGCTTTGATAAGCTTAAATGAATTAATTCTGACTGTTGTTGACTTTCAACAAAGGCTTTCACAATAAGTCACAAATTACTTTTAGTAGAAATGAGCTACAATAACTCACATATATATACTATTCTATGTCTAAATATTTAGATTGTATAATTTCATGTCATGTTGAGAGTTATTATGTTACTCATTTCATGCAGAGATCACATACCTAGGAAAGCACAAAGTCATGATTCAAACTCAAATACATCTGCTTTAAGAGGTAAGCATTAAAACTGTCCACTTGCACTCACAGAGGAAGGGAGCCAAAGTCGTTTAGAGTTCTAGAATCTGTCATTAGCCTTACATTCTTTGAATTCAGTGATCTCAAATGTGAACAAAAGGGAACACAGTAAACTAGGCATTTCATAAGTGGAATACTGTCTCCACAATATACCTATCCTATATCACCACACCTGCACCCCTCCCTTCCAGAGTTTTGCAGCATCAGGATACTTCATAAGGTCCCACAAAGCAAGTCAAGATGACTCTTACCTTCTCAATTCATAATGTTGTACTTTTCTGATATGCTGGGAATGTAGTGCCATGCAGCAGTATAAAAGACTTCAGAGCCTCATGACTCACAAACTGCTATCCTTTTGCTTAAAAAATAAAGCAAAGTAAGTCTTTCTTTCCTGTTGCATATTGCTTAGATTTGCTGTTGAAAAAATTTGCAATATTTTTAAAATTCCAATTTTTCCTAAGATATTGTGATACCTCTCTCCAATCAGAGAAGGCTTCACATCAATCTAGCATAAATGTCACCTTAAAAGTTTATACCATTTCTGATGGTGAGGGAAGGGAATAGAGTGAGAAGGGGTCATGAAGGGGAATCCCTCCATACTACATCATACAGATACCACCCAGGTCACTGGCCTGATTCAGAGCCTAAAGAACAGTGAAACAGAGAGACACAGACACAGACACAGACACAGACACACACACACACACACACACACACACACACACAGAGACACACAGAGAGAGAGAGAGAGAGAGAGAGAGAGTTAGTTCTACATAGTTATCAGTTATTGACTTGTTAACAGAGTTCAAAACCCTTTGCAAGGAGATCTATTCCACATTGCTGAGATTTATTCCCATAATGCCATACAAATGATCAAGTCATCATTAATCATTAATATACATTTATGAATGTCATCTTTTAAAAGTCAATTATTTTGACGTCCAAAGCTATGACCAAGGTCTTTCTGTTTCCTTGGTGGCTACTCTCTAGGAGTTAATGGATACATGGAACACAGCAGCCCTATGCAGGCCTCCACCACTTTGAGAAGCAGAAACAGATGGCCCACAAAGAGGCACAGAAGATCTCTAGGGAACACTGTAAAAAGATACCCTCCAAAAATAAAATCTTAAAATAAAATGTTCACATATGTGCTATATTTGGTTGAACTATATAATGTATATATTTAGAGCCTAGGCTACCCTGTTGCAAACATGAAATAGATATATATCCATCTAATATAGTTTGCACATAAATTCTACTGACCCCTGTTATAAATTCTCCCACCCTCACTTGCCTCAAGATGCACATTCAGGGTTTTATTTCTTTTTTAATATTTTTATTTATTCTTTGACAACCTCATATATATATATACATATATATGTATATATAATGTATTTTGATTAAATCCACCACTAACTCCCTTCTCTCTACCCCCAAATCCGCCAACACATGCCCCTCCCACTGTCATAACTTTTTTAGAATGATTTTTATTTACTTTTTTATTATTTTATATTTGAGTATAATGCCTGAATGTGTGTAAGTGCACACATGTCATATAGTGACCACAGAGAACAGAAGAGGGTGTCAGATCCCCTGGAACTGGAGTTACAGACTGTTGTTAGCCACCATGTGGGTGCTAGGATTCAAACCCAGGTCTTCTGCAAGAATAACCAGTGCTCTTAACCACTAAGCCATCTATCCAGCCACATGTCTTCTTTTTTCTTTTCTTTTTTTAATAACCCAGTAAATCCAATTAGTGCTTCCTACATGGGCATGGGCAAAGTATCAGTGGCCACACCCCCAAGGAAAAAGACTTACCCCTCCCCAAACAGCCATAAATTGCCAATAGCTCCCCAGCTAGGGGTGGAGCCTCATGAGTCCCTCCTCATTCATTCTGGAATTCTTGACTGGCTTGATCTTGTGCAGGTTTTGTTCAGTTAACCACAGCTACTGTCAGGGTTTTATTTCTTTAGCAAAGAATTTAAGGTAAAATGTAAATTCAATAATAGGAAATACTTTAATTACAGTTATTAATCATTTAGACTGTAAGAATAAAAGCTATCCAAGCAAAAGTCTTATTAAAACCACTGGGTTACAAAGGGGTACTATATGTAAATCAGGGATTAAAACATTTAAAAACTCAAGGGATGCTAGCAAGATAGCTCAGAGGGAAAGGTGCTTGCCACTGAGCCTGATGACTTGAATCTGATCCCCAGTATGCACATGGAGGAAGGACAGAACCAGTTCCTGCAAGTTGCCCTCTGACTTCCACACTAGCAGGTGTGGCACATGTGCCCACACACAAATGCACACACAAAAGCAAATAAAGAACAAAAATAAATAAACAAATGGATGTAATTTTGTAGAGGCTTGGCTCACCTCTTACCTGACTTGACTTGGGCTGACCTTGACCTGTTGGTAGCATTTAACCTATGGAAAGTAAGACCATGCATCACTCAGACATGGACATAAACTCAAGTATACAAAAGCATTCACAGATTCCTTCTGTGGGCCAAATGAAGATTTCTAGGTACTGGAATCTAGTCATCCCAAGATAACTAGAGTCAGAAAAATGACTTGGCAAACCAAAATCTTAGAAAGCAAAGACACACCTTCCATAGTCCTATGTTTAATCACAGAAGAATCACTTCACTGGCCTGAGCGAACTATGCAGTCATCTGGAGCTTAAGAAATGTGACATAGGCATTTGTTACCCAGTGACTTGATAGCTGTAATAAGTTTACTGTATTAGGTTTTTTTTTTAAGAGGAGAGATATTGTATAATAAACAAAAGAAAAAATTCTTCACTAAAATAAAGCTACTTTTTTCCATATTTGGACTCCTACTAGAGCCTCTAATGCACTGAGATGAACCATGCCAAAAGGAAAGACAGTGGTCCACAGCTCCCAGACCCTTTTGATTTTTATTTCTACACCACACAATTGGAGGAATGCTAGGGGCAATGACTCAGAAGCCCTTTCAAGCAGCAAGAATCTCTTTGATTCTTTTCATCCACCACTAATCCCTGTAAGGACTTCCACTTGAAACACTAGATATCCAAACTCTGCGAAGTTCAAAATACTAAAGACTTAGCTTTTCTAAAGCAGGACCAAATCAACCAGGTGAAGCACATCCTTCTGTCACCACACTTTCTTTCAAGGAACCCTGAGAACAAAGGTTAATAGTCCACTAAAAAACTCCCCCACCTTCAAACTTTCTTTTTAAAGAAAACATTACTTACTTGGAAAATAAATTCTATGGTTCCAGTACAATTTTGTTTAAGAAAATAACAAAATTCTTTGTTTTACGTAAACAGTGTTGTGACTAATTAAGGGAGAAATTAGCTGCCAGCTTACATGAAAAGGCAAGACCTGTTTCCATGACATCTTTGCATTCACGGGAAGCGAGCTGATGGTCTGCTGCCTGTGTGGTGTGCAACTCAGCCTTGCCGACTGAGACTCATTAGCCCAGGGTTACAAAAATGTAACCAATGCTTTTTCCAGATATTCCACCACAAACCAAGTACCACAGTGTCCATCCCCTGCCTTGAAAGCCTGGGTCTGAGCCACTCACAGGACTCCCTCCAGCTCAGCCTACAGTGTGGGATTTTCATTAGGTAGGCTTCTTTGTGTCCACAGGAATCCTACAGAGTAAAAAGGGCACTCTGGCAAAGTGGAAAGGGAGGCGAACACACTAACAAATAGCCATTTTACCATTTTCACAATATTAATATTTAATAAACAGTTTCTTGTTCTACTCTTGTTTTTCCTAAGGATAAATCAGCATAGTGTTTGGGGAACTGGCTAAATACTGCCAACTTTTATTCCCTCTAACGGAGATTCATCATGTTTTGTGACTTAGGAGGTTTACTTACAAGCAGTGGTAACCAGAGGTGCTGGTGCCCTGTGAGACCCAGGATAATGAGACATGGAGGACAGGCACTGGAGGCTGAGTGAATACAAAAGCCACAGGCAGCCCAAAGCAAAGTCTAAGTTTCACAGTTCTGAAACCAGACTACAGGCAGCTGAGAGCCAACTGTGCAAAGAAGGTACTCTGGCTGTGTCCTTGGAGACCCTGTTAGCTTCAGCAAGAGTGGATTTTCAGAGTCTTGAATGGTTGCTGTTAAAATCTACAGGAGTCCCTCACCTCACATTTTTACCTATCAGATTAAACAATGCCTTTGGAAGAACTGTGAAAATGAGACCACAGCTAAAGGTACATATGCTCTTTCACCAAGCCCTGTCCCCTCATATATGTGCTGAGAATTTTTCTAGTGCAAATATGAAGTATTGTTATGCTCTCATGAGAAACAAAGAAGTGGGAAGGGAAAGGAAGGGATGGGAGGGGAGGGGAAGGGAGGGCAGGGCAGGGCAGGGCAGGGCAGGGCAGGGAAGGGAAGGGAAGGGAAGGGAAGGGAAGGCAAGGATCACTGCTGAAATTTCTAACTTTTAAATTACTTTCTACAACATGCTTCTATGTGCATACCCACATCAAGGTTAGAAAATGTGATATGTAGAAATCCCAGGTCACTATAGTCCCCATGACTGAGGTAGATACAGACAGGAGGGTGGCTCTTTGAAAGGCAAAACAAAATATGTTTTAATGGAAGAGGAAAGGTAGCCATGTAGAAGATGGAAGGGAGAGAAGGAGGGAGGGAGGGAGGAAGGAAGGAAGGAAGGAAGGAAGGAAGGAAGGAAGGAAGGAAGGAAGGAAGGGAAGGGAAGGGAAGGGAAGGGAAGGGAAGGGAAGGGAAGGGAAAGGAGCTGTGAACCCAAAGCTCTAGTCATTTAGCTCTTCTGTGTATAATGGAGACAAGGATAACACGATTTTAGAGAAGTTGACACCAAAATACATTATTTTCTGTAGTGAGAGAAGTCATATGCATTTAATTTTTAGCCAATTCAATTTAAGGAGTAATTCATGCTATAGAAAAAGTCATTTTGTTGGCCTCCCAAAGTGTGAGGGGCAGCACATAAATAGGACCAAATCCCGCACATTAAGAGGAAGGTGAGAAAGTAAAAGTGGCAAGTTTGTGCCTGAGAGGGATCATTGTAAGAAAGTAATCAGGACAAATAAACTGTGGGCCTGGAAACTTATAGGAGATGGTTAAGAGAAGGGGAAACGTAGAACCAAGCTGGACGACCTTGCCCTGCACCTGAGCCATCTTCTCTAGTATCTCCCACTTCTGTCAGTAATGAATGAGACCTCCAGATTTGAGGCTCTGCAGTTTTGCTGCAAACTTTATTCTTGAGAAGCCAAGAGCAGCAAAGGACCTGGCCTCATGTTTTCCTTTTACAGAGAACTCAGAACTTCCTTCATGCAATGTTCTAAGGACAGATGAGTAAAGCAGTCCTGAAGGTAACTGATTTTTGTTTTCTAAAACAAAACTTCAACCTGAACTAAGCTAAATGCTAATACCTAAAGATATAAAATAAAATAGAAAATCAAAAGTCCTTATTACTAGACTACCTGAAACCTTGAAAGAACCCAAATACTGTGTAACCTTAGAGGAAAGCCTAAGGACTGCTTAAGTAAACCTCATTTTTGTGAACCACAGCATAGCTGGTGGCTGATGCACCCTTGGAAATGTGTATTTATACTCCCGTCTGCTAGTCGAATAGGTGGCTGGACTTTTGTTTTGTTTTGCTTTATCCAAGTGGAATGCATTTCTCTAGGAGCACAGCATATCTTAGACCTGGGTCTGGATGGAGCCCAAGGAATGTAAGATCAGAGAGTGCCTGGAGTTACCAGATAGTGGCCAACAGGCAATGAAGCTTTTGATTCTGTACAATAAAGAACTGGACCAGATGAACTCTAAGAGTCTTCCAGCTTGAACATTCTGTGATTCTATGATTCCACCCCACATTCCATATTCATCTACAAACAAGGAAAAATCTGATCTGGCCGGTTGGTTTTTAAAACCTCACAATTCTATAAAGCACTGAGAAACTGTGGTCATACCAGACATATTTCACTTGTGTGTATTTCATCATTGCTGAGCACTTTCCAAATGTAAAATCAGGGCTAGAGTTCAAGGACATGTGAAAAATGGTCATAGAAAAATTCTGACCATTGGGTTTTACTATACTATTAATATACAGCAAGACTAGTCATGATCCAAGCTGTTTTCAGTAAGTGACTGCAATTCTGCTACTTAAAAGCTGGAGAGATGCCCAGCAGTTAAAAGCGCTTGCTACGGGTACAGAGGACCCCAGTTCAGTTCCCAGTATCCATATTGCAGCTAACAGCTATCCCTAACTCCAGTTCCAGGGGATCTGACACACTCCTCTGACGTCCACGGGCACTTACATACATGAAGGTAAAACACTCATACACACAAAATAAAAATAAATAGAAAAATAAAAAATTTAAAGCAGGTCTACATTGGAGAACTGCATTAGGAGAGAAAAGTCCTTGAGGGAAGAGTTTGGAGCGAGACGAGGATGACCAGTCAGTAGAATGGAAATTAATGCTCACTCCCTGGCCCCGGATTCATACAAAGAAATCCTATTTGCCAAGGTGATGGTATTAGGGCTTGGGGCCTTTAAAAGTTGATTAAGCTGTAACAACAAAGATCTTATAAATGGGTTAACTGTACTACAAAAAAGATCTCAAAGCAACCCCTCACTCTGCCTGTTGAATGAAGGTACAGTAAGCAGACAGCTGACTTGTGAGGAAGCAGGCTCTCACCATATACCAAATCTGTTGCTTCTTTGATCTTTTCTTTTGCTATTGTTGTTCTGGTATGGTTTTGCATTTGCATGTGTTTGGTATGCCCATGCATGTGTGTGTGTGTGTGTGTGTGTGTGTGCGTGTGTGTATGTGTGTGCATGTGTGTGCGTGTACACCTACCTGTTCTATGGCCCTGTAAATTCCCATTGAATGAATGTCATATATGTAGACTTATATAGTATTCAACATTTTAAGCTTGTTTTCTTTTCACTAGCATAACACATGTGAGATTCACTCATGCTCTTCCAAAACTATGTATCAATAGTTTTCTGATTTTCATGGCTGTGTATTATTCTACAATATGGCTCTTCCTCAACTGAAAGGCATTTGGGCTGTTTCCAGATGTAACTACAAAAAAATAAATCCTATGAAGACATTGTTTAGGTTTGTGTATAAAGGTAGGTTTTTCATTTCCTTAAAAATATAGAGAGTAAGATTGTTAGATTTAAATGCTAAAACCCTGACAAACTTTTTCCCCAAATGGCTGAGCCTTATGACACCCCCACCAGCAGCATTCGGGAACTGTCCATTCTTACCCATATTCGACAGGCTCTGTTTACTTAACACCTCTCATAGTGTGCTTTGCCTCACTCACGTGGCTTCACTTGCCCTTCCTTATAACTGGCAATGCTGAACATCATTTCACACGTTTCTTTGGCAAAGTAGTCAGATCTAGTTTTTAAATCAAAGTTTTTAAAAATATTTTATTTATTATTTTTATTTTATGTGCACGTGTACATTGCCTGTATGTAGGTAAGTGCACCCGTGTCGTGCAGTGCCTGCAGAGGACAGAAGAAGCTGTCAGATCCCCTGGAACCGGAGTTACAGACAGTTGTTAGCTGCCTTGTGGGTGCTGGGATTCGAACCTGGGTCTTCTACAAGAAGAGCCAGTGTTCTTAACCGCTGAGCCATCTCTCCAGCCCCTAAATCAAGGTTTTTATTATTGACTTTTCTTTATTTTTTTGTCTTTTGGATCTAGTTCCTTTATAATATGCATGATTTTGAAAATATTTAAAAACACTTTCTCCCAGATGGTCTTTTCATTTTTCTAACAGTGAATTCTAGAACTATATGCCCACTTTTGAAGCCCATAACTGAGAAGGGATGAAAGAAAGCAGTCAGTAAAAGTCCACACCTCTTATGTGACCTCCTTTTTTACTTTTGAGCATGCTCCCAGAATGAATATTGTATTAGAAACACTAGCAAGAGGTGAATAAATATTATGAAAATTCTCTCTAAACAAGCTCTATGTCATCAGGGGAAATCCCCCCTCTTACTTCTGGGGCTGAAGGAAACCCAGTATGAGCTGTACCAGTAAGGAAACAGGAAAACAGAAGGGACAGAGGCTGAGCCTCCATTCTATGTCTGTCCTATTCAGAAGGAAGTTTATGAAAATAGTACACCCAAAAGGACAACAGAACCACACATCAGAGCCAGCCAGACTCCAGAGAGGTATATGCTGTGAGTACAGTCAACAGTTTTACTAGGAGTCATGAGTTCATTAATAGGTCATAGACGATGAGCTTATTTTCTTGATTTTTATAGGCCAAGAAGACGTAGAAGATACAAAATATGATATCTGAATCTTACAAAGTTTTTCTAAATGTCTTAGTTAATAAATGGAGAATGATAACCATTTAATTCATTTAATTTTTTAATTTTTTAATTATCTGTGGATTAGTGGCA